AGCATGTCGCCGCTGTCGGGGTGGAGTGCGAAGACGACCTTGCTTTGGTTAACGTAGACCACCGCGCCCTTCGTCACTGCGGCGGCGGTGCGGATGCCCTGCCGCGAACGCTGGTCGCGGTAGGTCCACTTCACAACGGGCTTGGCCGGGTCCGCGGCATCGACGGCGAGGAACGCGCCGGCTTCGGTGCCGAAAAAGGCCACGCTGCCCACCACCGCGGCCGTGTTGCCAGTGGGGTCGCCGATGTCGCAAGCGCCGGTCTCGTTACCCGTCTGGAGATCGAGCGTGTGCAACTTCCCATCACAGCCGGCGAGCAAGGCGTTCCCGCCGACGACCGTTGGCGTACACCGCAGCGGCGCGTCGATTGTGAAGCTCCACTTCTCCTTGCCCGTCGCCGCGTCGAGCACGTGGAGCGTGCCCGCCTCGGTGGGGACGAGCACCAGCGACTCGCCGCTAGCGAGCTTATGCACCAGCGGTCCGCCGTACATCTCCGACTCGGCGTCGAACGACCAGCGCTCGGCGCCGTCGGCGGTCGCGAGGCAAGCGACCACGCCGTTCATGTCGGGCGCGTACAGCGCATCGCCGTTCACCGCCGCCGGCGACGTGTAACCGTTCTCGCTCGCCACCCGCTTCCAAACCAGCGACCCGTCCGCGACACGAACCGCATGCATCGCCCCATCGAAATCGCCGAAGTAGGCCACGCCGTCGGCGACGACCGGCGTCGCTTCGAGCGAAGTCTCGCCCGCCTCATAGGTCCACACGACCTGCGGCTCATCCGGCAATGTCACGTCCGTGGCGCCAGTCGATTCGGCCCCGCCCCGAGCGAAGGGCCAATCGGCGTTGGCAACACTTCCTAAGAACAGAAAAGCAACGATCACGCAAAGGCGCGAAGGCGCAAAGGTTCTTACTTTCAGTTCCTTTGCGCCTTCGCGCCTTTGCATGAGACTTCTAGAAGGCCGCTTCGTAAAGACGTTGGAAGTCATCTTCGCCCATTTCAACGGGGTTGAACGTACCCGTCCATTGACGGGCCGCGTCGGCCGCGAGTTGGGGGAGCGCTTCGCGGGCGACGCCGAGTTCTGCGATTCTACCCGCTAGGCCGAAGCGATGTCGCAAGGAGTCGAGGTGGTCGGCGAGCTGGCTAACGGGATTGCCGACCGGCTCGCCGGTTGCTGCGACCAATTCGGCGTAGGCCTGGGCGACTTCAGGGAGCCTCCCGTTGTGACGCACCACGTGCGGCAGCATCAGGCCCACGGCTTCTCCGTGCGGCAGGCCGAAAGCAGCGGTTAGCGGGTTGGCGGCGGCGTGGGCGCTGCCGAGCATCGAGGTCTCGATCGCGAGGCCCGCGATGCAGGCGCCGAGCTGCACGTCGCCGCGACATTCCCTATTGTTAGGTTCGTCGATGAGCCGCTCTAGCCCCGTCGAAAGTAGCCGCCAGGCCGTGCGGCTGAAGTTGAGGGACATCTCGTTGCGTTTCTTCGTGACGAGCGTTTCGACGGCGTGGCTCAGCGCGTCGATGCCCGTCAGAGCCGTGACCCGTGGGGGCTGCGTCAGTGTCAATTCAGGGTCGAGCACGGCGATACGGAACGCGGCACGCTTGTCGCCGCACGCCATTTTGACGTGGGTCGCGGCGTCGCTGATGAGGGCGAACGACTGGGCTTCGCTGCCGGTGCCGGTGGTCGTCGGCACAGCGATCATCGGCAGCATCGGCCCCGTGGCCTTGCCGACACCCCAGTAGTCCTGCATCCGCCCGCCACACGAGTAGACGAAGTTGATCCCCTTGCAGCAGTCCATGCTGCTGCCACCGCCGACGGCGATGATCGCGTCGGGCCGATAGTCACGCGCGACCTCGGCGCCGCGATCGACGTTGTCGGTTGTGGGGTTCTCCTGCACGCCATCGAAGACAAGCGTCTCAACGCCCGCGGTATTCAGCAACTCAACACAACGTCCCGTGTGCCCTACCTGGATGATACCCGGGTCCGACACCACCATCGCCCGCTTGACGCCGAGCTCCGCCGTCAGAGCGCCGAGCTCCGCCACTCGGCCGGGGCCGAAGACGATGCGTGTCGGGCAGTGAAAGTCGAACTCACGCATATTGTTGCCGCAGATGAACGCAGATGGACGCGGATGCAACCTTCGCTGCAACATCACTCTGCCAAGAAGCATTAGTCATACAACCACTCCGATGTCGCGTCGCCCAGTCAATCGACATCCGCGTTCATCTGCGTCCATCTGCGGCTAATTTTTTAAGCGATCTGTAGCGCCCGACTGCGATAGAGGAACTCGATCAAGTTCCCCTCATGCGGCTGCAGCCAATCGACCTGGGGCGTTGGGATGGGCCCGAGGTTGAGCCGGTCGATGTCGATCGAGTTGATCAGGTCGTGGCGGAAGGATTCGTCGTTCGTGATCGCCGAGCAGATCAGCGTTGGGCCCATCGCAGCGAGCATCTTGTCTTGCGGGCACTCGACGACGTTCACCATCGGGAACATCTGCTCTTTGTTGCGGGTCTCGCTCTCGTGCGATGCGTGGTGCAGCACGACCGGGCGGAGGTAAGCGACCGGTGGGCGTTCAACGAGCCGGTCGCCGTACTGCGCGGTGACGTGCGTGACGCCGGGGGCTTTGGCGTCGTTTTCTATCGATCCCCAGATCGACTTGGCGGCGCCTTCGATCGTGAACGCAGCGAGGCCCGCCTTGGGATCGTCGGGCGGCAGCACTTCAATGGGCCCGAGCTTCGCGGCGATCGCCTCGGCGATCTCTTTGGTGTGCCGCGACGCGTAGACACTGCTGGCGTTGAGGCAACTGCGGCCGCCGTTGCGGTAGACGCTGTCCGCCATCAGATCGACGTACTTCTCCCACTCATCGACGCAATCGTCGCCGAAGATCACCTTCGAGTAGCCCGGCCCGTGGACCTGCACCTTCTCGTTGCCGGCGTACTGAGCGACCGTCTGCGGCCCGCCAAAAATCATCGCGCGGCGGCAGCTCGACAGAATGGCGCCGCCGATCTCGGAGCCGGCGCCGTTGTAGAGGCAGAAGGCTTCGGGCGGGATGCCCGCCTCGGTCATCGCGGCGAAGACCCGGTACGGTGTCCATGGCTCGCTCGAACCGGGCTTCAGCACCAGGCCCATCTGCAGCGCGATCACCGGCAGCCACAGCGTGTGAACGCCGGGCGAGTTCGACGGCAGCACGGCGCCAAGCGCGTCACACTGCGCCTGGTAGCTAACGACCACGCCGCGTCCCTCTTCGCCGAAACCTCGCGCCAAGATCTCGAGCGACAGTCCGCGCGTTAGGCAGTCGAGGATGCGGTCGATGTTCTTCATCACGAACGCGTTCTTGCCGACGTTCGCCTGGCACATCGCGATCGGCATGCCCGTGGTCGCCGACTGAGTGCGGACGAAGTCCTGCGGCGATTGCTTTGTGTCGCCGATGGTGAGCGTTCCTGACTCGAACAGCTCGCCCGCCTTCTTGAGCCGATCGACCAGCTCTGCCGGCGGGATCGCCTGCAGCGCCCGCCGCGCGTTCATCGCCTTCTTCGCGTCGCGCTGGATGATGCCGCCGCCGACGCAATGCACCCGCGCGACCGGCTCGCCCGTGTAGAAGTGCTTGACCTCGTCCACCTCAAGCGACTCGTAGGGTTCGCCCCAGCGGATGGATTTCAGTTCGATCATAGAAATGGGCCGCTGATGGTCGCGGATGAATGCAGATAAAGAGAAAATACTTACGACACTATCGGCCTAGAGCTGCGAGCCAACTCGTAGATTTCGCTTCTAAGCATACCAAGGCGATCGTTGAACGATTGAACATCGGTCACTTCCATGCGATGGCCATTCGCAGGCATCAGTAATAGATCGTTAAAACTTCCCATACCACCATAAGCGAGGAGCAACCGTCTGAATCCTTCGATCTCTGACCTTTGAATGCTTGGCCTGATGTCATTTAACCAATCCGCCCAGAAGGATTCGCCTACAGCCGTCAATAGTTCAACGGTCTCAGCTAGCTTTTGATCGAGTATTTCAAGTCGATCCTCTCTGGCTTTGGGGTTCATCTCAACCGCCTATTCCTTCATCGCACGCAGTGGAAAGCTTTCCGTTGGAAAAACTGCATCTGCTTTCATCCGCGAACATCTGCGGCTAATAAACCCCAACGGTCGTCCCGCCCTCTAAGCGGCTGTACGGCCGCACGCCGCTGACGCCGTCCCAGGGGTAGAGCTTGTGCGGCGGTTCGCGTTCGCCCTCGTCGCGTTCGAGGAAGCCGGGGACGAAGAACTCTTTGGTGAGCGTTGTCAGCTTCGAGCGGCCCGTTTCGCCGTAGCCGACGACCTCGTCGGTCTTGTCGAAGTCGACGACCTCGAGCACCGCGCGCGGTTCGGGGGCGTGGTAGGTGATTTTGTAGCCGTTGGCTTTCGTGACGGGCTCGCTGCACGCCAGGCCCATCAGCGTGTTGCCGTAGGTGGGCGTCATGTAGACGCCGCTCTCCTCGGGCGGGCCACCGAAGAGCTCTTCGACGCAGAACTTCGTCCACTGCGGCGTGAACTCGGTGCCGCCGGAGAAGATGCCGGTGACGCCCGCCTCGGCGAGGCTCGTGCCGCGCTCTTCGAGTTCGAGGCAGAGGGCTTCGATCAGCTTCGGCGTGCCGAACATGCACCGGACGTCGTGCCCGGCGGTGAGGATCGTGATCGCCTGATCGATACAGTGCTTCTTGTAGTCGTTGGCGTGGTCGATCTGGCCTTTCTTGAGGCATTTGACGACCCAGCGCGGGTCGAGGTCGATACAGAAGCAGATTCCCCCGCGGTGCTGGGCGAGGTGCTCGACCGCCAGCCGCAACCGACGCGGACCGCTCGGTCCGAGCATCAGCCAGTTGCTCCCCGGCGGGAAGTACTTGTCGGGGAGCGTGTCGCTGAAGTTCGAATAGTCGGTCCTAAAATCATCGATCGCAATGCGGCTCTTGGGGATGCCCGTCGTGCCGCCGGTCTCGAAGACATAGATCGGTTTGTCCGCGTAGGCCTGGGGGACCCATCGCCGCACGGGCCCGCCGCGGAGCCATTCGTCCTCGAAGTCCGGGAACTTCTTGATGTCCTCGAAGCACTTCACCTCGGTGAGCGGATCAAACTTCAGCTCCTTCTTTTTTTCCAGCCAGAAGGGACACCCCGTCGATTCGTGGAAATGCCACTGCACGATCTCGACCGCATGGGCGTCGAGGGCGGCGCGGGCCTGGGCGACGGCGTCGTCCGAAGGCAGATCATCCGAAGAAACGGCGGGAGCGGCGGACATAGCGCACTACAGCGGGGCCAAAACGAACGAACAGACGTTCGCACGATAGAAGAGCGGCCCCCGGCCGGCAACCGACCGGCCATTACGGGCGCGAGCCGTCATACCTAGTTCGAAGCCAGAAACGGCTTCCTGCGAGCCGGGAGACGTGAGTCCCCGGAGGAACGCGGCCATTGACCTAACTAAAACGGCGCTTCACTCCTGGGGCTGACGCCACCCGGCTCGCATGGAA